TACTTTACAGGACTAGTAATTAGATTTTCAAGAAATCTTAAAGGCACTATTAAAATGTGAAACTCGATATATAAAAAATCTTACTTCTTACTAATATTATAAATGTGGAAGTTTAGATTGATGTTTGTTTTTATGAATATATGCCAGATCAGGTTTTCTGTAGTTTATCTAGATATATCTTAGCAAAATGAATTACCTTGTTTTTATTTAAATTGTGTATTTCTATGAATTTATTAATAATTTATATTTTCCAGGACACAGCGAATTGCATGCCACGTCGATTTCCGAACGACATATTTTATAGAAATGGAGGACGCGCCATTTTAAAATGTCTATTTTCGCGCGCATTTTTTGACAACTGTTATTTTATTGTTTTATTTTATTCCAGAAGCTATGAATTATTTGTGTTTTGTTTAAAATAATGCCTTGTTCCTTGTATATTTTAAGGCATTGTTTTATAAATGCTTTTATGTTACGCAAACTAACACAATGGAAATATAAACGAGTAACAAATTGTATTCGTTTAAATTTCTGAACGCTTGTCGGCATGTATGTTACGGCACAAAAATGGGCATTTTAAAAATTACCTAATTTTTATTTTTAGTTTTTTTTACGTATAAAACACCTCCATTTCCATAAATAATTATTTAAATTTGTATGAAAATGTTTTACTAAGTAATAATTTTAAGTAACAAAATGATTTACACTAAACATAGGTGCAAATGGTTTTGATACTTTAATATAAAATAAAATCCAAATTACTTAGTAAATCATTTTATGTTGTTTTCACATGTTTTCTTTAATTATTATTTAAATGTTAATTTTGCAATTTTGTATTAACAGAGCTGAAAGGTCAAGGGTTCTCCAAAGAGGTGTGTCGCAGTATGATCGCGATGTTGGACAAAGATAACTCTGGCGGATTAGGTTTTGACGAATTCAAAACTTTATGGATTGATTTACGTAACTGGAGGGTAAGATTCTTAAAGATTTTTTTTTATATATTAAAATTATTAACTTCAGTATAACTTACTCTATGTGCATATGTAGACAATTTTCTTTAATATGTGTTTTCTACGTAACAACTTAAACTACGTAAAAACTTTCTACGTAACGTATACAAAACTACAAAGAAGTTAGTTTTCATAGAGTATCTGGACGATTTACCCCTTGGGGTTATAATTCAAACGTAATAGATAATATAGTGTTTTTAAAATGTCGGGTTTAGTGGGATAGGAATTTAATTTTTATATGATAAGAAGGCAAACGAGCGAGTGGCCACCTGAATTCGCTGAAATAGCGAATCGACCGTTGCCCAAACATTCGCAATTATATACAGTAGTTACTCTTTTAATCGACAGAGGAGGAGACGCTATTAAACTTTTCTGTACAGTGAAGGAAATCTGTGATGATTACATATATCTGCGAAGAAATTCAAAAATGTTAAGTGACTAATCACCCCTAAGCGTAGCCTGCGCCCCTCAGTGGGGATATGCTGATTTGTTTCGTCCACCGTCAAATTATCTTTAATTTTAAGGCCTAATGGACTAAAGTTAGGCTCATTTTGCTTATTTTTGTCCCTTTCCCGTTCCACCTTTTTCTTATAAGGAAAGGATTGGATGGGAAAGTGGATTTGACGGTGGAGGTGACGCATAAGAAGGGCAATATCCTCTTTATGTGCATCTCCCCCGTCAATTAAGGGTAGACAACGCATCTGCAAATTTGGATGTCTATGGGTAGTCGTTTCGCCATTATGGCGGATTTAGGTAGCCACTTGCTTATCACCTTATTGTATAAAAGAATATTTCCCTATAGAAGTATGCAAAAGTGACTGAAAGTATGTTTTAATGGGTAAATATATATTTGCAGGCTGTATTCCGTTTATATGACACGGAGGGTCGTGGGGCGATCCCCGCACACAGTCTGCGGGACGCGCTGCACTCGGCGGGATACACTGTTAATGCACATGTACTGAATGTACTCGCACACAGGTATATACTTTTAGACAACTTATTTAATTGATACTGTCGCTTTAAACTCAGAGCAACACTTCTCAACACCTAGGTTGTGCGCCAATCTATCCATACTTCTAGTGACATTGACAGCTGTCAGCTGTCAGCTAGGCTACTAATTTTGTGCCTAACAATACATACATAAATACATTATACTAATATATATACTATCGTGACTTCACCCAGTGAAAATAATAATATATGCCTATGGACTATGTTAACTGGCTAGCTGTTCCCATGCGAATTCATCCGCATGGAATTATAAAAAAATTATTTCATTGTTTACATGCGTCAAATTATCAATTGCAAATGTCAAAATGACATAACATGACAAACCTTGGCAATCTTTTTGATGTTGGCAGCAACTTATTGTGTCTTTCCCACATTAGGGTTTTTATCCAAAACATTTACCCCTAAGTTTAATGGCGTGAAAATATATAGCCTAAAGCGTGACGTAAGTGTAGGGTTTTTTATTAAAAAAGAATTATTTAAAAATGTGCTGTAATTGACATCTTAGGCAACAAAGAAGTGTGTGTTTACGCTTTATTATAATAGTATAGATAACGTAGCTTTTTAATGGTAAAAGATTTTTTGTCATAGATAGTCTGGAAGAACATATAGGCTACTAATTTAGTGTTTTAATTTCCCCGTAGAAAGAGTCGCGGGCGAAAAGTAGTATTTAAAGACACTTCAGTTAGTAACTATTTATTTACAACATTCGTCTTACGTGCTAGTCATGTAACCTAATGACATTATCTTTCTCGTCCACCCGTGACATACGAAGTCGAGTCGTTACATGCCAGATACAGCGCCACATATTAATGTGTTTTGAAAATCCCATGACTATACTAATATTATAAAGAGGGAAGATTTGTATTTTTGTATGTAGTAAAATAACTCAAAGACATCCGATTTCAATAATTCATCATTAAAAAGATATATTATCACTTAGTAATAGGCTATAAATATAATAGAATTGTAATGTCTGTTTGTAACATCAAAAGAAAAATTCCACAATTCGGGAAGATGTATTTGCGTTGCTGGTAACGAATTTTTTGTCTGTCTGTCTGTGTCCGCAGTCCGCGTTTGTTCCGAGTATTCAGGCATATTATAGGTTACTTTTTATCTTAATATTGGATGGACGAAGTCGAGGGCAACAGCTAGTAAATGTGTAAATCCTTTATTGTATTATTATAGATACGGTTCCAGTGACGGCTACATTCAGTTCGATGACTTCATTATGTGCTCTGTGCGACTCAAGACTATGATCGGTGAGTTAAGTCACACGCTTAATAGTTACTTAAACTATCCCTTAGTGCAGATCTCATGTGATTACTAAGAATAGTTACATTGAGTTAGCTCGTAGAAGTACTATTTACACAATAAAATTTAGTTTATAGGAGGCAGCAACTAGTGATATGGTTTTTGAAGTTGTTTTTATTTTTTTCATACATTTTTGGATAATAAGGGGGGCAGCAGTCCCCCTTGAGCCCCTATCAGCTGTAGTTTACTAAAGTTCATCCAATATCAAAATTATACTTCGTTTCAATTGAATATTTAAATTACCACACGATATGAAAATGTAGCTAAACCTTACTAATAATATGCGTAAATTTATATGGATGGACTTTTTTTACTATGTATCTCCATAACGACTTAACGGATCTAAATGAAATGTATGTAAATAAAATAAATGTACAACTTAGTGTGGATAAAGACATAGATTACTAATCAAGTTTTTTTTTAATTCGACATAGAAATCACAGGCGACAACTAGTGTGAGATAACGTATTAGCGAATATTTTTGAAATTACGCATGTTACCGTAAATTGTAGTTTTCCTATAGTTTGTTTTAAAACATTTCATTGTTTAGAATAGTTTTTTCGTAATATTGAGTTCGTAAGGTAATATAGTAATTATTAATAAAAAAACAGCAAACAATGAGCCGCTCGAGAATCTCGAACGTGAGTTGCAGCTGAACTCCTGAAGAGGACGCCGCGACGCTGCTGAACAGTACGACTGAACACTGAACACTGTGCACTCGACACTAGAGATGTGTTGGAACTGTCTCCTAGCGTTTACACTGACTTAACATCACTACTAAACTATATATATAAAATATTTCATGTTTTTTCAGTGTAATATTGAATAAAATCACACCAAAAATCAACTATTTCTTCTACAATCAACTTCAAAAACAAAAATTTTTTTTTGATAAATAACTATAAAACATTTTTTACGTTCCAAAACTTTTTTTAATATAAACAGTTCCAATTATTCTTTATTCATACCGTTTATTGCAGAATTTAATGGTATATTGTTACTTGTTATTTAAAAAAAAATTAAAAGAACCATGAACCTGTTTTTAAACGGTATTTCTCACTTTAAGGACATCTACAACTTCTTACAGAATTATTTAAAAAAAAAAAAACAGTTGTAGACTTCCTATCACGCTAAATGCTTACTAACTGTGTCAATGTAAACCAACCCTTATATTATTTTGATATTTTTTATGATATTTTCAGATACCTTTAAAGGGAGATCTTCAGGAGGAGAATATGCAACATTCTCTCTGGAAGAATGGCTGAATCGCACAGTCTACTCATAGAAAACATCGCTAAAATGCCTTATTACTATATAAATATGGTCCTAATTTAAGCGCACTATAACCGGCCAATATAGATTATATAAAAAAATATATTTTTAAAATCAATAAACAGAAAGAAGAAAAAAATATATTGATATCCAATTTTGAAATTATGTAATAGCAAATGTAGTCACAAATTATTTATTTAACTATACGGGTATAGTGTTGAATTTATAATCTATTAAAATATAATTGAATCGCTTTAATTATCAAATGTTTTGTAAACTACGATATAATTGTAACTATTTAAATTCTATCCACCGACTTTTCATTCCAATAGCTTCTTTAATATTCACAAAAACCGGGAAAACACAACTAAACTTTTGACAGCTTTAAATGACGTTTACGCCGCCATTTTGTGACATCAGTGTTATATTTAGCCATGGCATGGGTAAGAATTAAAAATCAATGATCTACAGATCAAAGCACTCAGTAAACCGGCTCACAGACTCAATTTGAACTTGTATTGAGTTATGATTTGCATTTCAAGTTGCAATATGTGCTGTAAGTATAACAAATCACTGAGCCATAGCTCAATGATTCATGTTTTGTATTGAGCCGATTCAGAGTAAACACATGTTTAGTCAGTGTTGTCCCATCATTAGCATCTTTTAGTTACTGTGCGATTACAAACAGCATTATTTTTGTATCACAAGCTCTTTGTAACATTTGTCAACAGACAATGCATTTTTATTCAGCAATTTTTAATATATGTATGACAATTTATATTTTGTATTCAAATATGAGATCTGAATTAAATGTTTTTTCATTTATTAATCTATGTTTTATTACTGATTAATGTGAAGACAAGAACTTTACAAGAATGAAGGAATATTCTTTGTCAAATGAATAAACACTAACTGCACAGAACAAGAAGAAAGTATCTTTTGTAATGTAACTTCTATTATCTTCTTGAAAAAATATTACTTGTGTCTTGAAATAGCTTAATTTTCATTAATCCATGAATAAAGTTAAAAAAAAGAACAAGTTAATATAAACAACACTTTTATTAGTTTAACTCAAAACTTTAACAATCACAAAGACTGATACATCTTAAACATTAATCTCTGAGCTTGTCCTAAAAACTTAATATACACAGAGCTTATAGAGTATGCCAGTCTACGTCCCCTACTAACTAATATATCCAAATGTTCCTTAGGAACTAACACTTTCATGAAATAATTCCCCGACTGTGGTTCACTTCCGACAAACTGCCAACTTTTCACATCGATCCAACAATTCTGTCGCATCAACAAGCGTAATATAAAACGTGGATTCTTCAATATATTATCTCTATCAGGTATTATAATCGCACACAAAAACTTCCCCTTAGCGTCAACCCTGTTTATAACCAACGGCATACCTCCCATTAAATCTGGATTCACAACAACCATTTCGAGCCAGTTAAAAGATTTCTGATCCTCACAAAATAAATTAACAACCCCATCTTTGGTTATCGGATTTTTTCTAAAGACAGGTATATCTATTGATTCCACCTTAGAATCCTCTATCAACTTAATTTGAATAGATTTCAGAACTAAATCCACTGCATCTTGGCAAAGATGACCAGTAAGACCACTAGTTATTACTGCATGTATAAATTCTTCCTCTATAATTGTAATTGGAATATCCCACATTGTTTGTTTCTGATTTAACATATCCAATACAAGTTCATCGGATTTCGTCATGTCTTGAGATCGCTTACGATTCACACAAGGGGTAACTTCTTGTGCATGTTCAGAAGTTGGTCTGATTGGATTACTTTGTTCTGGACCCTTAGGCAAGTCCGGTTCACATTGTATTGGACATTTTGCAACCAAATCGGAAATAATGTTAGGTGTTTGTTTTATTAAATTACTCATGGTAGCTTGTTTTGCTGCTAAACACTGTTGGTTGCTCCGTTTACGTTTGTTTCTCTTTTTATTTCTGGGTATAATTTCAGATGGAAACTGTTTTAATTTTATATAAGCTTTGACAGAACTGTTCACTTGATTATCAATCTGTTCGGTATAAACACTACTTTGTTGCACAATGTCTATCTGAAAAGTAAGAAATCAATAATTTATAAAGATTATTACTTTTGTAAACTATAAAACTACTTTGCATAATTTTAAAATGTCAACAAAAAATGAATTAAGAACAATGAAAAAAAAATTAAATTAAAATAACTTTCAATTACACTTATTTTGTTAACTTACTTTTGGCGCTACTCGAGCTACAGACAGTGTGTTATTAGCCAGTTTGTAACCGTCCAGTTTTTTTCTCATCAAGTCAGCCTCAATTCCATCAGGTACACATATCTTTATTTTTTTCTTACTATTCGAGGTTTGTATGAAGCCACTGATTCGCTACACAAATTCGCTAACGCAAAATTCCTCTTGGATTATCTTTTTCAAATCTTTGTAGGTAATCTAAAAAACGGAATTATTAAATAACAATATGAGGTCTTCAAACAACCTCGAATAAACATTTCTAACGGTAACTTTGGAAAATTAAGTATTAGTATTACCATTTGAGGTATACCAAATATTGTTAACATCATTTTTGCTTAACAAATGAACTAAATAACTCTAATGCAAAATTAATGCGCGTTTCGAATTCAAAAGTTAACTGTAGTATAGTTCGACAAGGATCTATTCAGGCAGTCTGAAAATATGCGAACTACAGTGACAATAAAATGTTACCTTTTATATAGAAGAAAAATATTGTGACATAATATTGTTAGCTTTTTTACTATTTTTGATGTATTCTGTATTCTTAAAAGTTATTTGTTAATTTGAGCTATTTATCAAAACATTTATCTATTATTATTATTATCTATTGTTAGGACAACATTAGTAAACGGAAGGAATAGTGGAGGGTAGTTTTATAAAATACATGGCAAGGAGTAGCACGGGTTCAGTTGCAGCCTCGGCGCTCAGTCGCCAACAAGCTCAGTGTTTTACTAGTTACTAGTACACACTTTTAGTACCTTTAGTAGTTCAGATTTGTGAAAACACAATACATGAGTAGAATATAACGAGGGTTATATATTACTTCACATCAAATTTTAAGCAGGGTCAAACATATGTTATTAGCGAAAATAAATTTAGTTATGAATATTTTTATCCACTTTTGATTCTCATTATCGAAGGTGGATGCTTCAATCTGACAAAAAGGCGAACACCGATATTGTGTAGTGTACTAAAAGTACTAAATGTCCGATTAACAGAAGCCGTTCCGTAACGTTACTTTTAGTATAGTGCCCAGTAACATTACTTTTTAGTACATCGTACGTGTACTACCCAAGACTATTACTAGTCTTCACAACGGAACGTTCGATATATTTGCGTTGTCGCATTGGAGTTTAGTTTGTGTGTTTTAAAGTAATTTACAATTATTGTTAATATGGCCGTTCGTCTATATTTTAAAGGAAGTCATTTATTGAAATATATAACAATATATACCTAGTTTCATTTGCTAATTTGCTAATATTTTGTATTCTCTTTGAACATTAGTGACAAAGGTATAATAACGCTACATTTTCTTCATAGTTAAAGCTGAGCATAAGAAACTGAAAGTTTACATGGTCTTTTTTTTAATAATCCATATTAATTTGTATAGTTGTATCAGTATAAATATTACTACAAGTACTACAGCACTTATGTCAAAATTTGCAGATTCGCTTAGTTTTTGCATTCAAAATAACAGAACTTCGAAAGCGAAAATATTATAGATTCTTCTTGGTAACTAATAATACTAGTATATACAACTGTTATAAAGATCCTTGTCGCACTATAATGCTAAATAAAAGTGAAATGTAAACATTGTTCATGTTTTAACCAATGAAGAAGCGGCATTTGCAGAGGAAGTAAGTGTTGCCATCATAATTATTTCCAAATTCCTGAAAATAACATGGATGTAATAGTATTGTTTCCTAAAATGTACGATAACGCTAAATTACGACTTAATGTTGTTAAGTCAAAATATAACTGGTTATTTTCTTCCAAACCCTCTTATACGATCGGCATAAAAAAAGTCAACGTGAATTAGCTCCAACTTCACGGAGGTGGCATCATGACGCTCATGACATCTTGAAATTCTTTTGAATCCAGCCTTACCAAACGCCAAAGCTTGATCGCTTCCGTAATATTACTTTACGAACGCATCAATAATAAAAACGGAGGTAAGTTCTAAACTTATTTTGATTGCATTGTATTTGTATTTTGATATCTGAGACGTTAACGCAACTTTTATTTTTGTTTATTACTAAAAAAACCACCATGAATTTACAGCAGAAAACGGTATTTTGGATTAGAAAAAATGGCAAAAGTGGTCAACGTCAAGGAAATTGTAAAGCATATCGCGAATGGTACACTAAACAATAACTTGTGTCGTATATGTCTGTTGCCTTTGAAGGACCTAAATGAGGATATGTTTACAAAGATTTGTAAGAATGATAAAGAATACTGCATTGCTGACGTATTGGAAAAGATCTGTGATATAAAGGTAATAATTATTACAAGAGTTTCGTTCATTATATACATAAGTGCTGAATAGTATCTAATTTACTGTAGTAATTTTACTAATTTTAGTCCCTTTCTCTTTCCACCCTTAAGAGGAAAGGATGGGAAGGAAAAGTGGATTTGACGGTGTAGGAGATGCATAAGAAGGGGAAATGTTCTCTTTATGTGCGTGTCCTCCTCCGTCAATTAAGGGTAGGCAACGCATCTGCAATTGTGGATGTTTATGGGCAGTGGTCGCTTTCCATTTCGGTGGATTTAGGTGGCCGCTTACTCTTTTGCCACCTTATGTTAAATAAAAAAAACTAACTTATTAGCTGTAAAACACCTAAAGAGTTAATCTAATTGTGTGTTATATAGTAAATTCTAAACCTCGCAAGCTGTGCACAAGTTCAATCTGAAGTCTTGTAAAATGTCATAATTTTTATTTCTGTGTTAATTACAGGTTTTCCCGGAGGATAAATACAAAATATGTTCAGATTGTTTCATAGCTGCATCATCTGCTTATAAATTTTATTTACTGAGTAAACGGAGCGAAGAGATACTTGATTTTTATATTAATTTATTAGAGGAACAGATAGATCTTATTGAAATCTCTGATAACATAGAATCTGACTCCCTTTGTATTAAATTGCCTGTAATTAATCCGGAAACTGAGATATTTGATTATAATTTAACTGGTATTTTAAATACCATAGAGCATAAAGAACAAGAGGAGAGTAATCTAGAAGATAGTCAGAATTTGTCTGATAGTGATGACAGTGATATTGTCATAGTAGCTGATGAAAATGGTGATCAGTCATTCTTTAAAGAGCAAAATGGTACATTAGTTCCTGTAAATGATATTGGAAAGAAACAATTAAATGATGTACTGAAGATTGTTTTTCCAGAAAGTGATAAAGTAAGAAGGAGGAGACATCGTAATCCAATGAGTTACATAAATTGCAGTCAATGTCCTGTGAGGTATAAATTTGTTAGTAAACTAAAAGAACATATGAAATTGGAACATGACATTGATTTATTTGTGTGTTCTGTAAGTTATTTATAACATTTTATTTATACTTTTTGTGTATTTTTAATATATTTCACTTATATTGTCTGTGAGACAAAAATAAATAAGATCTTGTACAAAAATACATACAACTTTGTTTAAAATAACATGACATTGAAGTAAAAATTCCCCAATATTTAAAAGAAAATTATATCAATTGATAAGTTGAAGCTGGGCATACTTTCTTCCATAGTTTGTTATTTTCCATATGAAAGGGTCTAAGTATGTTAACTTGAATCGCCTATTTTGAACTTTTTATAATATAAATGAATGTTAATGCAAATTTATTTTTAGTTGCTTTAATTTTAACAATGAGTACAAAATATTTGTGTTTCTTAGAGTTTTATATAAGATTTACTGTACATTTAATATTTAACTTCTAAAAAGAATTAGAACTCAATTTGAAATGTTTAATTTCTTTACAGATATGTAAACAACTAAAAGAAGATGAGGATGAGTTTAAGAAGCATCTAGAAACGCATACAGATGTCCATAAATGTACAGAATGCAATATGGCGTTTAAAACTAAAGATGGAATTATCGCTCATCAGAAATGGCATGATACAATTGAAGACATGAAGGGAACGGAAGAGACACATGTTTGTGAAGTGTGTGGTTTAGTGTTGATGGACGAGGAACAGTTGATAGAACATAATGAGAAGAAACATATGAAGAAATTTACTTGTTATTATTGTGGCCGTATGTATAAGGGAGAGAATAGTTTTGAATTTCATATAAAAAAGCATGAAATGCATATGAAGGGTGATGTTAAGTAAGTATTTATACCGAGTTATCAGTTAACACTTAAAAACATTTTTCAGTACATAATCTAAGAAAGCTATTTTGTAATAAAACATATTTTAAATTTAAACTACATATTATTAACGGGAAAGATTTCATTGTTTTGGAAATACTAAACCGATTTAAAAAAAAACCATTAAAAAGCTATATAATATTAGTTACATATGTTTTATGAAGGAAGGGTATAGATATAACAGAAAAGATGAAAAAAATTCTTTACAATTTACGGAAAGCTATGGTATCTCTAGTTTTAAATTTAAACTAGCTGTTACTCGCGAATTCGTTCACGTGAGATTAAAAATGAATTAAAAACCCTATGTTACTCACTGATGACGTAGTTTTTAAACGATGGAAGAATTATTGAAATCTATCCAATATTTTTTGAGTTACAATAAAATATACAAACCAAATCACAAGTTGTTCCTCTTCATAATATTAGTAGAACTCTTTAGTGTCTTTTAATTGTTTTTTTCAGTGTGATTTTTTTACAATATTTCAGGAAACGTGCTAACACAAATATCAAAGATAATGCAAGGAAAAGGAAGTTTCCCTGCGCTACTTGTCAACGTGATTTTGTAGACGAGCGCTCGTTAATGTGGCATCAACGTTTGCATACTAATGAAAGGCCGTACGTCTGTGATGTAAGTAATCTTACTAATATTGTAAACTATCTTTCGCCCGCTACTTCGCATATAATTGAAAAAAAAAAATTGAGTAGCCTATGTTCTTCCAGACTATACCCTACATCTATGCAAAATTTCATCGAGAAACTACAAACTCTAACAAAAATCCAACTAAAAATAATTATTCAAAAATGTGCTGTGATTGTTGACATCTTATATATCAAAGTGTGTTTTTACACTTTATTATACTAGTATAAAGTATAGTTAGATATAATATTTGTATAGGTGTGTGGGCGCGGGTTCGTGTCTCTTAACCGTCGCAACCAGCACGCGGTGTGCGCGCACACGGCGCCCGCGCGCCGCTGCCCGCTCTGCCCCGCGCTCTTCCATCTGCGCTCCATGGTCAATACGCACGTCAAGAAGGTAACTGCACCACGCCACACTACACTTCGCAACATTACACTGCACCACGCTACACCACATTACACTGCACCATGCCACACCACTACACCACATTACCCCACGCCACACGACGACACCACATTACATCTCACCACGCCACTACGCTCCACTACAACACGCCACACCACTACACCATGCCACATTATACCACACTTCACCAGACCACATACAATTAGTTGCTTCTATAAAATGACAGTAGATTGTACACAGTTCTTTAGTGGTATTTCATTTACAGAAAAATTGCTGTACAACTTTTAGCAAACATTGAAAAAATCATGATTGGATGATCATATTCACCCTTGATAGTTGTACAAAAATGTTTACTATTTTGTGGTAAAAGCTATCTTATTTTTGCGTGGTTCACACCTGGCCAGTTACGTTTAATAACTGGACTGGCAACTGGCAACTGGCGCCAGTGAGACCAAGCCTGCGCGACAATTGTCCTGCCTAAGTGTGAACTTGCATTTAATGTCTATATAGTATAAAGTGTACATTAATAATTGTTCGTATTCCAGGTACATTTAAAAGATCACAAACGTCGCAACCGCATCAGCAAGCACCAGAACGTGTTCTGGCGCACGCAGCCCGTGCCCATACAGGAGCTCAGCGTCTCCATCCAGAACGAGATACTGGAACTGAAAGCGCACCAAGATAAACTTACTACTGAAAATGATACCGATATATACTAATGAACATACTTTAATAGTATTTCAGACAGTAATAATTATTATTTCTGCGGTGTCATCCGCGTGAAATTATATAAACTTTATTTTTTTGTTTACATTTGTCAATTGCAAATATAAAAATTACTGTTAACATAACTTTGGTTCCCTAATGTTGGAAGCTTGTAGTTTATGGTCCCTTTCTCACATAAAGGTATTATCCTATTTATTTACACCCCCCCCCCTAAGTTTAATAGTGTAAAAATATATAGCCTAAAGTGTGTCCTAAGTGTAGGGCTTTTTGTTAAAGAAAGAATTATACAAAAATAAGCTGTGATTGCTGACATCTTGGGCAACAAAGAAGTGTGTGTTTAGGCTTTACATGGTTTCTTAGTTTTATAACTTACTTAATATTAATCTGATTTGATGTTTAAAATAAATGATTTGTTTGAATAAATAGTTTTATGTTTTGACACTCCATAGTTTTTGTGTTAGCAAGATTAAGTTATTCACCTGTGTGGAGTCATAACAGATTTCATAAAATTACTAATTCCCAAGGATATTTGTCAATAGTAAGTTTTCAGGTATAAAGGTTGAAATAAAACAATAGTTTTTTTGTATGTACATTTATTTTCGTTTTTTTTTCAATTTTAAATGAATTTTTTGCTGGATATATATCTTCATATATAATAGTAATCAAGTGGCTATTGCTATATACAACTTAAAGTCTAGAACGTCCTTACAACAACTACACTTGAGTCTTATATCTAGGTGGAATTGCTTGTTTTAAAGACAAAGTTTAGTCAACATGTTTTCTGTGCTGTAGAAAATTTATGCAATCTAGCTTTTTAGTGAAAGCTACTAAGTATAATTATTCATAAACCATTTTAAATATACTTGAATATACATTTGCGAGAATAATCGAGAGGCGGACAAGAAATAGTTTGAAATCCTAAGAAAATAACACAATAACTTGTAATAACACTAACTCATGTTTGAATGAGATCGCATTAAATCTAAAGTTTTGCCTTAGTTTGAAATTTTGTTTACAGACACACCAACATTTTTCTGCACTACGAATATGAATAAGTTTAATCCATCATACTAAAATTGTGAGAAAAATATATATTCCACTTATAATAAATTTTTCCTAAAAACTGGTAGCACGCCAGTGCTTACGCAGAAATGATCACGGCCAAATCGATTTCATATTTACATTCAATACACAAGATTTTCCAGCTGTCAGGGGTTGCCAGCATATGATCTTAATCATTATTCAAAAAAGGTTTGTTTGATATCTATTTTACATTCTTTAATTATCTAGGAAAAGAAAAGTAATCCTGGCAACAACCAAATTAGTTGTACTACATATATGTTCTTATGTATTCCTTAAAACATTTGATCTTCAAGAAGGTTGTAATAAAATAAAATGCTATTTAATGTAAAATATCGTGTATCGTGAGTCTTCATTACCGAAACATATACAAAAACATATTGCTTTTACACAATAAGGTCCTGTCAACTAGCTGGTAGAGGTTCAGATAGCTTTAAAATGTCACTGTCAGATAAGGGGACAAAGTCCGATATTTTACATGTTGGATTGTTATCAGACAATTTACAATTTGGTGGGACAGGTCCTAAGAATTTTAAATATAAGATAATATATAATTTAGCTTGTGGTAACTTCAGTAAATAATAGACTAAGAAATCAGATATGTTAGGGATGTTATTGTTTATTGCAAGAGGTTTTATTAATGTAATATTGAGTAAAGGCATTAAAAAAATTACTATTATTAAAAATATGAATTGGAGCAAGAAAACATGTTGTAATCTGCATGTAGCTTATACATTGCCCTGTTTACTGCTTTGGTTTGTGAGGTATTATGTAGCGCATCATTGTAAGTTCTAAAGAACATAACAAAGATTATGCACAATGGTAAAATTACCTATATGAAACAGGGAGTGTTCCACAAGGCAATAATGTATTTTATACATATGTGAACACAATTTAATGGCTCCTACGTAAATTATCGTTTGAAATGCAAATTTTTGTAAACAATAACATACTATAGACATACATTTCTCCTTCGTAATGTTTCTTTTACACAGATCAAGGTGTAAATTGCAATATTGTGGTTAATGATAGTCTATATTGGAGCCATTTAATTAGTATGATATTTCATTATTGAAACATTTGTATTGTAACATATAGTCCTCTGTTACTTCAAAGGGAAGTGAGAGAAGAGATGTTTTTATAAAAGTATTTCAACAGTGAAAACCCACTCTTACTGTTGAAAAGCTGATTTGAACATTTTTTGTACAATGCATGCTTTACTCATATGAGTGGACAATAAATTGCATAATTAAAGTGATTTAGTTATTTCCATATTATGTTTAGGGCAACATATATAGCTAACAAACAGAAGAAATACATATAGTGGATGTAATATCTTCAAATATTGATATTTTAAGCCACAGCATATATTCAAAACTATAAAAGGACTGTCACATAATTTGTACTAATCAACCATTCAGGGTGGGCAATTTGTATTTGTACAATTTAGTTTAAAAAAATCTGTATCATAAATAAATGTAATCATTAAAAAGACTTACGAAATAAACGAGGATAAATACAAAAATACACAAACAATAATTTCCCTGTAAAGGTCTACAACATCCTACGAGTTAAGTGAACAAGACTTACTTGTGGCCGCATTGTTCCTTGTGTCCAACCTGCAATTAAAGGTGAAAAAACACAGGACCGTCGAAAGATAAAAATATCAAATACACTTATATAAACTATGTATATATTTTTTTTTGCAATTTTTCTCGAAATATTCTAACTAATAGACTTACGTAATAATGTTGCTCGATGCGATCAGCTGGTGGTTAGGATAAGATATGAAATATTAAAAAACTCCTTACCACCTCAATATCTTTCACCATACTCTAAAATGGAATCTGAGATGCTAGTCAAGTGATACAATTTATTCTTTCATATTAGCGATGCATAAAACTTATATGACAAAAACCATTAGTGAATTATTGTATTTACATTAATCCTTTATTTGATATTGACTGCTAAACAGGACATAAATAAAGTAACCTGATTTTTTAAATTATTTACAAGATTTACAAATGACATATGAAATGATTCATAGAAAAATTCAAAAACTGAAAAGAGTAATTGTTTTAAAACTGTAAAATGCATCACTAATACAAAAGGTAATTGAATATATCAATCTTCAAATCAACCAAGACCGAAGTCGACTTACCAAATTCCGCAAAGGCAATCCAATGCACCAACTTACACTTAAAATCACATTCACTTAGTCACTTTAAGCACGTTTCACTTTGTTCTTCTTGACGTTACTGGTTCCGAATATGAACCGGTGACGCCATTGTTCATACTGCTACGTACACACGATACTGCTGGATGAAGACTGGGCCTCGGAGATCTTCTCTTTACGTTCTTGATCACTCTGCGGCTGTGCTGTACCATTCTGTATGTTCACCTCATACATATTGGATGAGTTTGAATCTTCATTGTAGGATAACAGGCTAACTTCCTCCGTCTGCGGAGAAAAAAGATTATTTATAGATATTTTTATTGTTATTATTTGGCATATTCTAACTTAATGGTTGTTGAACCCTTAATTAAACAATTTTTTTTGAGATAATCATAAAATGGGACGGTTTTTATACTTAAGTAGGATTATTTACTAATAAAAAAAATTACATTAATATCAAGTGAGAGATAATTGCCAAATTTTAAAGGATTAAACAAGCATTTCATGTTAATTTACACTAAATCTATATAATGGGCTCCATTGTGTCTGAAATCTGAATGATTGCTTGCTTCTATAAATCCTTATTTATGATTTCCCTAAACAACAGCTGATTACTGAAACAACATAAAATCCATATTCTACTGAAATGTAGAGGTCTATACATTATAGTCATTTCAGTATTCTGCAAAACCTTTAGTAAACGTTAAGCTCTGTGTGTAGCTTAAAACTGCTTCACAGAATATACATTTGTCCGATGAACACTAGAATTGCATTTGCGTTTTTATCCCAACTTAAGTTCAAGTTTTAAGTTCAATATACAATTTGTACCACTATATAGGTGTATCTACATACATAGTGCGCTATGTATAAACTACCCTTGACGGCGTAGATCCTAGCTTTCAGGCTGAGCACCGGGGCCGTATATTACGATGTTATCTGCGGACAAACAATTCGCCACACAAATTTAGCCTGTTCTATAAAAATACTTCATTTTTGTATAGTAGTGTATTTTTACATCTTTTCTAGAGGCATACATTTATATTTGATTTGTTGTTTTATTTTATTATTTCTATTCTTCTCTATAATATTAGTATTGATGACACTAAATGGCAGTTATTTCAAAATACAATTAATTATGACGCGATTTTAGATAGCGTTAGTGATGATTATGTGAAAAATGTTTCAAGTGAAGTGTCAGTGTGTGTCTGTGTGAGGGAGTAGGTGGGGTTGGGGGTATCCTGTGTATGTTTTTATGAAAGGAAAAATGCTTTATAGCACCGTCAGACATGGGAAAATTTTGTGTGTTTGCGTAAGTGTGTGTTTGTGTGAGGTTGTGATTGTTGTCGGTGTATGGATGTGTGTGGGGTATACTATATGTGTGTGTACTCACGCTGCTCTCGGAGAGCCTGCGCGTGCGCTTGTGCGGCAGGTGCTGCACGGCGGGCGCGGGCTCCGGCGGCCGCCGCTTGGCGCCGGAGATGGTGCGCTCGCGCTTCAGCAGCGACGGCGAGAGGTACTGGTGCAGTTGCTTGCGGCGCACGTGACGGGCCTGGGGAGAATAATAACAATTATCAGATTATTATTTTCTTTTATAACTTATTCCGATATTTCGATTGTTATTTTCTTTTCTTTTACAATCTTTCAATTATATTATTATAAATGTGAAGTTGAGATGAATGTGGATGTCTGTTAGTTTGTAGCCTAAACTACTAAACGGATTTTAATTGAATTTGGCATAGATGTAGAGGATAGTCTGGAAGAACACATAGGCTGCCCATACATCTGCAATTGCAGATGCGTTGCCTATCCTTAATAGATGGAGACGGATATAAACAGGATATTTTCCCTTTCTATGCGTCTCCTCCATCAAATCCACTTTACCTTTCTATCCCTTCTTAAGAAAAGGGTGGAAAAAGGCTAATATTAGTCTTCCAAGATTATAAATGTTAAGCACTAACCTCAATAGACATGCCGTCTCGTAGCATGTTAGTGTTCTCAGCCTGGTAGTGCACCGCTTTAGTGAAGGACGAGATGTCGTACGTCAGGTCTACATTCACGTTGGTCTTCTCAAACACCAGCCCGATGAACCACATGGAGCAGTTGTTAGCGATCACCTCCCCCTGGGAATGAGTTCCATTTTAAACCCAATCAATTTCAATCTATTCCTATATTTCTATATTTTTTCATTTTTTCCTAGTAACTTCTTTGACGGGTACTATGTTAGTTGCCAAGTTAAAAGCCACCTCATGTTCTTGTATTGCCATGTTTAAAAACATTTTACAAAAATATAGTATGTTCCATCTTTTATCATAAAATAAACTATCAGTGTTACAAATAAAATATAAATACTTAAATATTATTTAATAACCTCTATCGGCAAGTGAAGTGTCAACTATGCCTCCTCTATATATTTTCTTAATCACTTTTACTTATATACTAAACGTAAACACACACTACTTAGTTATGATGGATGTCAGCAATTAAAATATATTTTTGAATAATCATTTTTTTTAATGAAAAGCCCTTCATTTAAGGCATGCTTTTAGCTATATTTTCACTTTATTAAACTAAGGGAGTAAGTCATTTGGGATAAGTCTTGCGGGAAAGAGACTAAAACTACAAGCTGACATCAAAAAAGCAAGCTTGCCATAGTAACTATAATGTCAAAGATCTTTTTGTCATTTGTGCATTTAAATTTTGACAGTTACAATTAAAAATTACAAAAATGTCAACAATAAAATAAAGTTCTTGTAATTCCATACAGATGAAGCCGCACGGGAACAGCTAGTCTTACTATAAAATACAATTTTAAACTTACCAATTCATTCTTTTTGAGATCAGGTGCTGGATCTGTGGGCACGGGCGCGCCTGCCAAAGATCAAGAACAAGAGATAATGAAAACATTAATTATTTTTCTCCTTCCACAGTGTACAGTTGGAAAAATCCGTAGTGTTACATTTTCAGAAAAATGAAATGAAAATTGAAAAAAATGATTTATTTAACTTTTTTTACTATTTTTAAATTTTATTATTTAAAAATAGTAAAATGTATTAACTGATTAATAAAAGATTTATTAACTTTAAATTACCTAGTTCCTTGCAACATAAACTCCACTTCTTTAGATAACCAATTATATAACAATAAGCTGCCGAAACAATCATACTAATACTATAAATGCGAAAGTTTAGATGGATGGATGTATGTTAGAAATTGTAGCCTAAATGGCTAAACGGACATTGATGAAATTTGGTATAGATGTAACGAAGAACACATAGGCTACTCATTATTGATTTTTTTAATGCCACGCGGACGAAGTGGCGGGCGAAAGCTAGAGGGATAATAAAAAAAGAAATTATCCTTTTATTAACTCACCTGGAGGCAAGGCTAGGGGCTGTCCATTATTAGTGTTGAGAGGCACAGAGTTATAGCACTCCGGGTTCACATGGGCTATAGTTATGTGCTGGTTTCTCTCAAGTGTAGCTGAAATAATATAAAAATTAAATTATTTTACATTTATTTGTTTACAAAATAATTTGAAATTACAAATAAGATCCACAGTTATAAAAAATCTAGATTTGTTAATAAATTCAGTGAAAATTTAAATAAACAAGTCAAAAACTAACAGTTAACTAAACAGTGGTAGTGTCCGTTTTAACATTTTAGCACTGCAGGGCCGGCACACCCGGTGTAATACCACGACCACACAGAAGACAGACGTGAAATGGAACCAATATCGTGTTTCGTCTGATGAGTGTGGTGCCGGAGGCCTAATTTAAGTCCCTTTCCCTTTATCACCCTTTTCTTATAAGGAGAGGATGGGAAGGGGAAGTGGATTTGACGGTGGAGGAGATGCATAGGAAGGGGAAATATCCTCTTTATGTGCGTCTTCTCCTCCGTCGTATAAGGGTAGGCAACGCATCTACAATTGCGGATGTCTATGGGCAGCGGTCGCTTCGCCATTTTGGCGGATTCAGGTGGCCGCTTGCTCGTTTGCCACCTTATGTTATAAAAAAAAAAAAAACTACTAAGTCGATTTCAAAAATACTTTCACCATAAGAAAGCTATGCTTTGGTTGAGTAATATAGGCTAAATTTCACACGGACGAAGTCGCGAGCAACAGCTACTCATAGTGTATAGCATATTAGTAATAAGTAAGTTTAAGTACAAGCTGTTGCATTACTGTAATCGTTAAATCTTAACTTCTTTTATCTGTTTTGACAAGAGATTAAGGGACTGTCCCACCACTAGCTGATAGAGGCTCAGATAGCTTAAAATTGACGTCACTGTCAGATAAGGGAACAAAATTCGATATTTCTATGACATATTTTACACATTGGATTGTTATCAGACAATTTACAATTTGGTAGGACTGACAATTAGGGCCTGTCCCAAAATTCTTGTAAATTGTCAGATAAATCCAACATATAAAATATGTGATGGAAATATCGGATTTTGTTCCCTTATCTGACAGTGACGTCATTTTTAAGCTATCTGAGCCTCTATCAGGCAGTGGTGGGAAGGCTCTAAGATAAATTGATTTTCCATAGTTAATTAAGCGTGGGTTTCCACAGCCTGTGTAATTCGTATACTGACTGATAAGATGTCGTATGCGGCTCTCGATGAGACCACACCACTGCAGCTGGTCCACGTCGCAGGCGGAGGAGGCGAGCAGCACTATGAAGTGCTTGTAGCGGGAGAAGAAGTTGGGAGCCTCGAACAGACGCTCCCAGCCGCACTTGCTCAGCATTATCTCATCTGTTATTGCTAGACCTGGAAAGAGTAAAACTTTATTCGTACTGAAAAGATAATTATCTATAGTAATATAAAGAGGAAAGATTTGTATTTTTGTATGCATTGAAAGTTAAAAAACTACTGGGCCGATTTTAAAAATTCTTTCACCGTTAGAAAGGTAATTCATCAGTGAGTAACGTCATACTAATATTATAAATCCGAAAGTTTAGATGGATGTTTGTTAGAATTTGTAGTCTAAACTGCTGAATGGATCTTGATGAAATTTGGCGCTATACGCAGAAGATAGTCTGGAAGAACACATAGGCTACTCATTTTTTTTTAAATTCCACCCGGACGGAGTCGCGTAAAAATTACTGGGTCTATTTTAAAAATTATTTATTAGAAATTTTTAAACCGTTTTTATTTTCATGCGGACAAGGTCGCGACCAACAACTAGTTAGTTTAATTACCAAAGTATGAAGTTACCAAGTCTGAATTCTTCCATGATGACAGTCCTGGTTGAGGCTGAGACGTTGAAGGTGGAGTTCTGCTGCGGGTACGCCGGAGTGATGATGGGCATCAAATGGAAACGATCCGATACATTCACCTGGAACAAATTATTTTTTTAATTATACATAGGAGAAAATCTGTAATTTTTGCCTATTCTTACTAAAGGAACCAATTTACTGTTGTAATGGTTGAATATTAAATCTAATCTCAAACACTAAATTGCAAACGCTTACAATCTGACCGTTGTCAGAATCTTAATGAAGTTGGAGTTTAAACGTTTTTTTTTTATAACATTAGGTGGCAAACGAGGAAGCGGCCACCTGAATCCGCCAAAATGGCGAAGCGACCGCTGCCCATACACATCTGCGATCGCAGATGCGTTGCCTACCCTTATCCGACGGAGGAGGAGACGCAATAAAGAGGATATTGCCCCATCTTATGCATCTCCTCCACCGACAAATCCACTTCCCCTTCCCATCCTCTCCTTGTAAGGAGGATGGTGGTGAAGACAAAGGGACTTAAATTCGGCCTCCGGCACCACACTGAGCAGACGAAACACGGAATTGCTTCCACTTCACGCCTGTCTTCTGTGTGGTCGTGGTAGGTATTACACGGGGCTTGCCGGCCCTGCAGTGCTAAGATGTTAAAGCGGGCACTACCACTGAAAAATTTTACGTGATTTTAAAAACGCTGTCACATATTACAATGTTTCAGTACTAGGCTGTTAGTGTTTTATGATTTGAACAAGTTATTTAAAGAAAAATACGTTTGTACCAATATTTTAACGTGGAAACATTTGTATCATCGTACTTTTGTATGTATTGAAATAACTCAAAAACTACTGGTCTAATTCCATTCAAATGCTACATAAAACCTGGGACATTTTAATTTCACGTAACTCACCCGTGGATCCCAGACCGGAAAACCCAGATTCACAGCATCCGGTTGCTTCAACAACACCGGCTGCGGCCACTTCCATTGACTGAACACTAGGAAGAACTTATGCACTAACGTCGCTGGCATCGCGTTCGGATACAACTGACATGTCCTCGCCACCAACATGGCCCACGACACACCGCCCAGGTAGCCTAGTGTGTTAGAGTATATACCGTGACCTAAACAGATAAATAACACAAATGTAAAAACATTACAAGCATATAAAAACTTATATAACTAAACCAATATCATCTTATTATTATTATAAATGTGACAGTTTAGATGGATGTTTGTGCATAGTTTGCCGCCTTAACGGCTAAGGATCTGAATGAAATTTGGCATAGATATAGAGGATAGTCTGGAAACACACATAGGCTACTCACTTTTGATTTTTTTAATACCACACAAAGTCGCGGGAGAAAGCTAATCAACCATAAATTAAAAAGGTATTTCTGGATCTTGTGATTATCAAAAGTACAAATTGTAATTAGCTTTATGTAATAGAAACGATTGTAATTGTTTAATATTTGTTGTTATCAAATAAAATATTTCTATTCCTAACTATCGTGGTAAGACAGCTGTATTTTACAAACATTACATAAAAAAATTGTTTCAAATACATTATATGAACACTGCGGATTTTCCCAATGGTACAATTCGCAACAAAAACAAGTTGGCACTAAACTTGACAACTGATTTAGTACCTTTCAGAGAAAGCACCAGTGAAAAAAATTTGTTCACTGCCTTGTCTATACTATATAATTAAATGTCTTTGGAAGGTAAGTTAATTCACTAAATACTTTAATCTCAACTTGAATGAGTATACTTACGCTTAGCCCATAGCTTGATAGCTCGTAGAGTCAATCTGAAGTTATTTATATTTGGCACAAGACGCAATATTTCGTCAGTAACGCGGCAACCGTTAAGTGATCTCACACATTTCTGGTCCAAATTCTTTAGCAACATATCATCTCGTAGATCAAAAGAATCTGCAAAAGTTAATAAACATATTGTCTATACTAATTAATGAAGCATAAACACACATTACTTAGTTATGTAGGATGTCAGCAATCAGAGTACCGAGTGACCGCGAACAAAAGTTAAATAATACTCGCCCTGAAGAAGGATCCCCGAAGGGTCCGAAACTAGTCGGTGCCGTCACCGGAAGATAAAAGCGTGAGTTGAGCCGTTTTTGATTAATTTTCGCTTAAATCAGAATACATTTTTGAATAATATTTTTTTTAATTAAAAGCCTATGACTATATGGTATATACTTTCACGCTATTAAATTTAGAAACAAATAATTTGGAAATCTGTCTTGGTAATGAGACAATAACTACAATCTCAAAAGAACAAGTAAGCAAAGCTTAATGGATTTCGATAAAATTCGGTATAGATGAAGATGATAGTCTGGAAGAACACATAGAGTAATCTTTTGTTTTAAAACGCGTGTGGACGGAGTCGCGGGCGAAAGCTAGTGTTTTTATAATTCCATGCTGATGAAGCTGCACAGGAATGGTACATAAGGTATTATTATTATTTTTTACCATCTATAAAAAGTTTATTTTACCTGGTATCTCTTTCAAGGCAAGTCTAGCAAACAGTAAATCAATTTCTATGCCATCAAAATTCATCTTAATTACCGGCACAAATGCATCTTCTACAGCTCTCAAATCCTTTACCTGAAAAATAATAAACAAAGTTAAAATAAATTATTACAACATTCTAGATCTTGACAATTTATCTGTACTAATCATACTAATATTATAAATGTGAAAGTTTAGATGGATATTTGTTATTGTTTGTGGTCTTAACTGCTGAACGGAATTTAATGAAATTTGGCATGGATAAAGAGGATAGTCTCGAAGAATACATAGGGTACTTGCTTTTGTTTTTTTTTAAACCACGCGGACGTAGTTACGGGCGAAAGCTACTATTATAAAAAAGAAAGATTTGTATTCAAGTATTTATTGAAATAATTAAAAAAATTACTTGGCGGGTTTCAAATATTCTTTCACCATTAAAAGTTGTCGTTATCAACAAGTAAGATGGGCTAAATTTTATTTTTTAATTTCATGTGGGCAAAGTCATGAGCAACAGCTAATTATAGCAATATTAGATATCTGAATTTGTTGAATACTTCTTTAGATTTTATATTCTTTTGAAATATTACTAGTCTCCATAGGTGTATATCTTTAACTTGTTGACCGACTTCCCAAAAGGAGGTACTCAATTCGTCTGTATGTTTTTTTTAAGTCTCAATGTTATGTCCCACCATTATATACCCTACCAAATTCCTTAAACACCTAGAGGTTTATTTTCATTAATTTAAGAGCAGCAATAACAGCATAGAAGCAATATTGCTATGGTAATTGTTATTCAAAATTTAAACAAAATAAAGATTAATGTGTTGATGAATCCGCACGGGAATAGCTAGTAATAAATAAACATAAAACAATACAATACCTGTGGCTGTGTTTTCAGTAGTTCATAGAATGACTGAAAGTAATCAGTTCTATCAATATGCCTTGGGGCTACACACAACGCGTCGATATCCGCCCCTCTGTGATGTACCTTGGAATAAATATATACATATTCAAACCATATGCAAACTTAAAACGAATCGCACAACTGTTGTGTGTTTGTCTATTGTTTCTTAACCAATTCAACAGTTTAGTTGCACAGCTAATAATGGAGTAGTGTGTGCACCACCATTTAAGAGCATTGAATCAAAGCAAGATTAACCAGTTGTCCACTAGTTTAGTCAAAGGTCTGTATGCACTTAGATTAGTACATAATGGTAGCTGTGGTATAGCCTGGGAGATCAGGGGGACAGTGTAGGTTAGGGGTAAAATAATTCAAAATAATATGTAGGAAACTACAATGTCTTGGACAGATGGCTGGCCACCCCTTGACAGTATCAAGACTACTGATATATGGACCATGTATTAGCAACAAACACCTAATCCATATATAAAAGTATAGTAAACATGATAGGTAATTGCCACACTTATAGTTTTTTATTAACTAAGGAGGTCTGTCAATTAAGGGTAGACAATGCATCTGCAATTACGGATGTTATGTTATGGGCAGCGGTCGCTATCCATTTCGATGGATATGGCGGCTTGCTTGTTTGCCTTATATTATAAAAAAAAAGAGGACCACAAAGTTCCTTCTTATCAATTTAACGCCTAAATTATGTAAACAAAGGTTGGCTAAATTGATATATTGAGGCCAATATGTTAGTTCATTTTTTCTACATACATTTAGCAAGTCATGATAAAGTGTCAAACCTGGCCTGAATACTAAAGATATCGCTTTTAAATAAACATGTTCTCTCTCACCCCAAGTCTATAAGATCCAAATGTGTAGATATTCCCGCCCACTGTGTCCGCTACACTCGGGGGCATATTCTTCCTCAATGATTCATCGCGTATCCACTGTCTGACGAGACGATGCAATGAACCCAAGACTTCCATACGATGATGCATTTCCGCCTCAGATTCAAATACACCAAATGGCACAAGTGATTCCTTCAAATCATTTGTTTTTTCAATATCAATTGGTTTGGGGCCTGAAAAGATTAAAATTGTTACCAACTTTGTAGCTGTGGTTAGCTGTGAACCGATATCTTTATAGATAGGTGCGAGGTGGCTCTTCTCCGAGTAGAGAGAAATTTGAAGGACTTGTGCCCTGATTCCGTTACAGACAGGATTGCCTTTATTGTGCCACTGCATTTAGTAACATCTTGAGATTATTGCAATCAGTCAAGCAAAATCATTTGTATTATGCTTTTCAGTAGAATAATGGCCATTACATCAATATGAACATGCCAATAAATGAAGTAGTAGCTGGCATTCCAGCTAATGGCATTATTACTAATAAAATATTCACAAAACTGTAAGATAAGATATAGATCATAGGTGACATTGCTAGCCAGTAGCTACCACTAAAACAAATTTCATTCTAACTTGCATATTGGCTACAGCAGTTAGAGTTTACTCTTGTCTTTACTTGATACATGCCAGTGCAAGTGTACCAGCTAACATTATAAATTATGTAGATTTAAAGTATTCTGTTATTTATTTAAAGTTTTACGAACCTGCCATAGATATAGCAGATGTCATCCCCAATGTTTTTAAATTCTGTTGGTTCTGGTGCTCATTTGTCTTTGTAGTACTTGTTTGGTATGGTGTGTTTGTATGTGAATATTGAGATTGCGGCCACATTTTGGACATTTTCAACTATTCCAAAGACAACTGCTATAGTAAAATATTCTTATACTAATGGTGGGGTTCTACTATCATTAATTAAATGCTCTCCTCTTTGTAACTGTTGGTGAAACAATCTGAAATGAAAAGAAAATTGACACACATGTATCTAGCTACTTAGGAAATATAACAAAGACATCCTATGACATTTTCTTCGAGTTGATCATTAATTCATGAAAAAAAATTATAATGCAATGTATTCTTTGGATCTCATCAGCAAATTTCACGATTGGTAAGATAATAAGTAAAATTTCTGTCAAATTTATTAAATAACGAAACATTACTATAACATTGGTAGTTAAACGTAAAATATTTCATAGAAATTTACTTAAATATATCGATAGGATGAAAAAATATAATAAAAAAATACAAAACAATGGTGACTGCAATAATAAACATGATGCGAACGAGGCAAGGACAAGGCGTTTGAGATTCAAAGTTCATTCACCTACAACTTGTTTTGCATTGAAATGTTTAAATACAGTTTATATAAAAGACATTCATAGTTTACTCAAGAAAAATATCGAACGTTCGCAAAGTACATAACAGTGGCATTGCGCCGTAAGGACGTTTATTTTATTGTACTGTAATCACTTAGTTAAGGTCACCGCTGTATCTACATCGCGAAATTACAAATTGAAATTATATTTTAACATATTTACAGAAAATCTATAGAAAGTATTGTAAAAGTAAGCAAATTATTCAGTAAATGACACGATTATGAAAACGCACAAAAAGCTCACGTTGCGCCCAACTATATTACGTTAGCAATTTCTCAAGTACAATAACACGAAGCGAAATATACTTCAACTTACCACTTAACTTATTAATATATCGCACTTTGCTATGCATTACATATATATTTATTATAATGCAAAACAAAATATTGAAATAAACATTTATTCGTACAAGCACACAACAGTCGCCAACAACAAGGCAGCCATTTTTGATTTTTTGATAAATGGCAATCAGTGTTTTAGCAATAAAAAATCAATTTAAATTAACGTAAACATTCAAACATTACCTGGTCTTTTGAAAATACAATCTTAAAATAAATAATAAAAGGAAAACTGATAAGTCGTAGACAAATACTTGGAATAGATCTATACGTGTTGGAGTTGGAGTTAATAGTCACGTTTACTTAATTTGCAGCGAATGTTTAGAGTAAACTTTTTTTAAAAGGACTAATTTGTAGTCTTTCTGTTTCTTATCCTTTTGATCTGTTCTTTGGGTCCTTTTTCTGTTTACCTAATACGACGAAAAATTAGACATAATTAAATTCCATTAGTAATATTATAATTATACGAACTACTCACGAATTTTATCATTTGTATTGTATTATTTATTCCATCATAAGCAAGAAGTAAAAACATAATGTGGGAATTAAGGAAAATTCGCTATGTCATTTCTTAATTAGCCTTAACTTAGAATTTCTACATTTTGTTGATTTAAACGCATCTGAAATCCAAACTGTTATGATTGCGTTCAATTTAAACAACGTTACATTTGCGCATGTGCCATTGGCAGGTCTCCTATGACGTTACGACGTTTAACAAAACTCTATTGAAGTTAGCCACATATTACTATCTCATTTCATACAGTATCAAAAGAAAGGGATTGATAGAGAGCCGGTTGATGTTTTCGTGTCAGCCTTGTGCCCATTTACGAGGAGTAGGGAAAATCCGCCATCTTGAGAGTGAATTCAAGAATATACGGACTTTTAGCAGAATTAAGTTAATATATTTAGTAAATTTATTATTAAATTGACGAACATTTAACCAACAATAGGTTTTATAACATTTTTATGGGCCGTTCGCGTTAGAGAAATCGTGTTACGCGTCGGCATTTATCTGAAACGCCGAATTCTTTCGTAGTGTTTATGTGACAGGAGACGACACTGTAAGCTTTCTAATAGTTTTTTGCGTGTCTATTTCCGTTTTCCATCTCGACGATCGTTAGTATTAACGTGAAAGTGAAATAGGTATGCCTATAGTATCCTAGTTCTTCGATTAGGTCTTCGCTATGTATTTTTATGGTCGAAAATGCGGTTAGATGGGCGTTGTTGTTGGGCGATCGGTTAAGTTGATTAGGAGGCATCGTAGCCGAGCTGGTGAAGGCCTGGGCCGAGGGGGCTGGCTAAGTGGGCGGCGGCCGCAGAGGATGCGAGCAGTGAGGGTGTGCTAGCGAGGTGATAAGTGTTTGAACTGGTGTGACAATGTCGACGACTATGCGGCCAACCCTTCAGACGGTGCCGGAGTCGCTGCCGGCAGACCATGTGACGTCACCGTCCCCGGCGCCCGCGGTCTCGGCTGCGGCCACCGCGCCCTCTCAGCCGAGGCACCCTCGCCCTATGTTTAAGGTAAGTCACTTTCTCCATTCATGGTTTCTTGGTCTTTACACGTTGAGTTAGTCTTATCTGGGTTTATGAAGTAAAGAATATATTAAAAACAAATAATATCATATTTTCATGAGCAAATAATTTTTATAAACCTCTAAATATGTTCTTGACAGAAGTTTTATTTAAAATACTGGTTAGTTTTGAACATCAGTTTAGACTTATTGTTGACTTAAAAAGTCTATGTTTTTGATAAATAAATGTAATTAAGTGAGTAAAAAGGCATTATTAAGGTTAAACTTTAAAATGTTGGTATTATAGGTGTTGAAAGAATAAATTTAAATGTTACTTTCAAAATTGGACTAATTATCACTAAGTAGACTTACTTTGTGTTTTGTATTGTGCAAATAACATTGCATAATGTTTCTGTACATAATTTAAATTGTTGATACAAATATAATATACTGTGTAAAAGTACACTCTAAGACTTAGGTATATACCAAATGTTGGACTAGTCTAATTGTATATAGAACCAAGTAAGGATGATGCTGAAGATATTTATGTAATTAAAGCTGTACATAGGAATCTTTTGGTCATCACATGATTTCTTATAAGATTTATGAGCTATCCTTAATACAAATGTATGAACAGCTGCTATTATAAAGTGCAGTATGCACTCTTCTATACTCCACATATAATAGTTAACTGCCAATAAATACTTTGAAATACAATAAATTGTTTTGTTACATTTACACTAGCAGAAAAACGGGTAACAGTTATAATATACCTGGTTTTAAGATCTATTTGACAATAAAAAGCAAAAAATTATTATTTCTTACTTCAGACTAATATTATAAATGTGAGAGATTGAATTTTTGGATGTTAGAAGGTATCTACAGAGTAATTCAATTATTATCAATAAAATTTGGTAGCAATAGAACATAGTCTAGAACACATAATTGATTGAAGTTTTTTCTAAATTCCAGCAAAAGTTGTGGGTAAAAGCTAGTTACACTTTGTCCTACTAATAGTAGTAAAGTAAATAAACCCTACGTAAAAGATATAACTTATTTCAATAAAACCACCCTATATTTATTTACATACAAAACAATTACTGGTTGGTATATTTGATACAATAATAATAAAAATGAATCATGTGTTGATACAATTGATATCACATGAATGTGTTTAGTATTGTAATAAATTAGCCAACACTAGCTCAGTTTTATATACAGTTGTAATTTCCTACACATTTTGTTGTAACTACTTATACCAGGTTGTAAAATGTGTACCAACAGAGACAATTGTATTATTTATTTACTAATTATTGTCCATGACTCCATCTGCGTAGAATGAAAAATAAAGTAGCCTATGTGTTCTTCTAAACTATGCTCTACATCTATGTCAAATTTCATCCAGATTTATTTAGTAGTTTAGGCTACAAACTCCTCTAAACTTTCCCACTTATGATTAAGTAAGATTTAATTATTATTTTGCTGTATGATACTCAATTATAAGTGGGAAGCAATTTAAATTCTTTGACTATAATTAGTTAATTCAGTGTCATAGATAAGTTTTGATATTTTTTAACCAGATGTAATGTAAGCTGAGTTGGTAATGTTGTTTTCATATCTGGTTTTACTTTATTGTTTGACACATTTTTCTTTAAATGTTAGTTAACCAGTAACTTTGTTATAAATTTAATTTGAATTAGTAAACATGGAGTGATTTATCAATTTATTCTTATCTGATACCAAATACTGTTATGGAATGATCTAGGAATTGTAAGTTTATTGAAAAGTTTTAGAATTAACTAAATTAGGTAACATGTATGACATTTTAAGTTTGAATTTAATTTTTTCTTGTCATTATTAATTGAAATAAAGACCAAGAAACCATTTTTTATGTATGCTTTCAGCTGATATTGTTGTGTATGTATTTGTTTATATGGTGTTTAAAGTATTTAAAATTGAAATGCTATATACTTTGTCTGTCTACTTTATCTGTGTGTAAGATATATTTAAAGTAATGGATAATGTACGGTTTTCATGTTTTGTATTCAAAAATGTTGGGCAAATCTCCAAAATTTCTTCGAGCCTGCATTATGTATGTCTAGATGACTAAGACTTCATACTATTATTATGCAAAATAGAAACTATTTACTATACAAAATAGAAACTATTTACTATACAAAATGTTGACAATATGATGGATTTTGTATCTATAATTAGGATTTATAAGTTTGACCATTATTGAAATTGAGCGAGACAAAATTAGGTAACCATAAAATTGCAGATCTTAGATACAAATCTGACTTTGTAAGTTAAATTAGCTGTTGCTCACGACTCAGCCCTAATGAAATTAAAAAATAATAAGAAAACATAGCCTATGTTACTCACAGATAAATTACCTTTCTTACGGTGAAAGAATTATTAAAATGGGTTCAGTAGTTTTTGTGTTATTTCAATACACACAAAAATACAAATCTATACTCTTTATAATATGATTATAGATTGAATTTAAGCTATCCAAATTCAAAAATTATTAATTGTAATACATTTTGTTACTTCAAGAATCAATAATTAACAATTTGACTCATTAAAATGCTTCTATTATCCGGTTAAATGGTTTTGTATGTTTTCAACTATATTTACATAATGTTTCACACATGGTATATGAGTTAACTGTAGCAATTAGGATGTGCAACAACCATACATACTTTTTTATACTTTACATAATATACTTGTAACTTTGAATGTGGATTTCTATGTAATATTGATTATATTTACGATTTTATGTTCAATGTTGGTAACTTGTAAGATTTATTGAAGGCTCTGTTATACAGAAAAAAATATACAAATTATTCGGTATGCATGTAATTTTAATATTTTCACAGTTTCTAAACAAAAGTTATCTGGATTCAATTTTTTTTTATAAAAATATTAGTAGATTTTTGTTTATTTACTAATATTTCCTTTAACCATACCAACTAAGCTCTAGACTTGTGCTAGGATGAATGGCGGGAGTCAAACCCTCGACCGCAAGATCGGTAGTCCGTACCCCAAACCATTAGGTAATTGGCGCTTTATAGAATGTTATATAGTAAACTCCTAAAATTCGTAAAATTATATAGTGGGAATATCTTCTTCTATAGCTCTACAGCCCTTTGTATGCCTTGGCTTGGTCCAGCGACTTCTTCCATCTCAGCCTATCTCTGACCATGGTCCTCGAGTTTATGCCAACGTTTTTCGCATCTCGATTTATGCCGTCTATATAGTGGGAATATGGATTGTGTAATTTAGTATTATTTGTAAATATATGATACCATGAAGGAGGAAAACGGAAAATAGAATTATTTACATTGAATAAGACATGATATGATAATCACACCATGAACTGCAGTTGTCATAATATAAAACACTAGCTGTTGCTCACGACATCGCCCGCGTGAAATTAAAAAATATAGAAAATATAGCCTATGTTACTCACAGATAAATTACCTTTCTAATGATCAAAGAAATTTTGAAATCGATCCAGTAGTTTTTACGTGAATCGAATACATACAAAGATACAAATCTTTCCTCTTTATAATATTAGTATA